AGATTTCCAAATCCGCAGATTTCAAGTCTGCAGACTTAGAAGGGCGACTGTACATTACAATTCAAATAATACATTCTTTAAAATATACCAATTCAAAAGTCATTATTTAATGTTGACTGGGTAGACCTGCCAGAAGAGATGTGTCTTGAATGTTGTTTTAAATGCAGTTAGCATTTTCAGCTGCCTTATCTCTTCCGGTAGGTCATTCCACAGTCTGGGGAGGCGAAGAGGTCCTGCAATTGCCAGTCTAGTCCTGGTTGGTTGAAGCAAACATTTCCCAGAGGACCTGAGTGTACAGTGTGGATTGTATGAGAGGAGGCGATCCTGTATGAAACCTGGACCCAAACCATGTAGGGCAGGGGTAGGCAACCTTTCCCCTTTAAGGGCCGAGGGACTTCAGTTCCCAGAATCCCAGGAGCTATTGGCCAACATGGGACTATTGGCCAACATGGCTGAGGCTTCTGGGAGCTTAAGTCCCTCGGCCCTTAAAGGGGAAAAGTTGCCTACCCCTGATGTAGGGCTTTAAAGATAACAGTTCCACAGACAGAATTATACTATATCTCTCCATTCAACCTCCCTCCCCCTTAGACTCACCACTAGGTTGCCGTAACCTCCAAACATCCCCCAGCCCATATGACTGATGGAAAGCAGAGGAATTCAGAAAAGCATCTGTCCATGTTCCCATCGTCCAACACAGACCAATAGTATAATCTGATGTGATCCATCAAGGTTCTCAGGAGTTCTTGCAAATGATGTAACCATTCTGCACCTGGCTACAGGAACACAGCCAGATGTTTCTTCAGTTCCCCTTGCTCTCCACCAGCTAAGCAGGAAGTTGAGAAAGGCCATCTTTTGTCTATTACAGTATCTGGAATACTGAAATATGAAATACTCCAAAATCTAGAACTTTTTGGGCTACGTACCTGTACTGTATTTGTGACGCTGCAGAGAGATGCCAGGATTTGTGAAATGGTGGAAATCCATGCTTACTGCCATTTCACAGATACTGAGGCTCTCTTGTAAGTATCCAAACATCCCCTGATATATTCATCAAATCAAATATGCAATATTAAAGCAGTAGCATGAGCAGATGTGGTTTGTGATGGTATCCATAGCTCTGCAGCAATCACCGCAACCATCATGCACTACATCCTTGGCATTTGGCTTTTCCAAATGCACTGTGATTGTCATTTTAAGACCCTGGTCTGAGTCTTTTGTTCCTGTCCTTTCCCAAAACCTGCAATCCCAAGCCTCTTGGCTTGCATCTTTCTGTGGACTGTTGTCTTCTGGAACAAGTATCTATTGCCTCATCTAACCCTATCTTCTCTCTCAGGTTTCTGTATTCAGTAGGCTTTGTATGCTGTATATCTGAATGAGTTATCTTTCTTTGTGTGTGCTACTTTCTATTTTTCTTAATAATAGGATACATAGTTTTCCAAGCCTGAATTTCCATAGTGAGTACTGGGATAGCTGGTGATGGATCCTGCACATTGTTTTTACCCCCCTCTCACATAAGTTGAGTATTTCTCTAAACTAATCAAAATATTAAAGATAGATTGCAACTGTTGGTAGAGGCTCTACCAGCACCATACAAAATGTGGTAACACTCTCCAGCTTCATTATGTCTCATTATGTCTGTGTAAATACAGGTATTCAAAAATCCCCAAAAATCTGAAATACAGAACACTTTCGGTTCCAAGCATTTTGGATAAGGGAGACTCAATCTGTATTACTACGTCGTCATCATCATCATCATCATCATCTTCTTCTTCTTGAACAGAGGCTGGATGGCCATCTGTCAGGGGTACTCTGATTGTGTATT